ATATGAAACTAGTTTTCCTATCTCTGAGGATGGTTCTGAAATAGAAGTAGATTATTACGTCAAAGCTTTTTATACGTTTGCATCTGGATAAAGGATGCTGGGTAATTAATAGCGCAGGCTTTATGATGTCATTTAATTGAACGTCATTTAATTGAAAGTAAATCCATTCGCCGCTTTTTTATCGGCATGACGTAACAAAAACAAATAAAAATACTCGCTATATATATATATATATATATATATATATATATATATATATATATATATATATATATATATATATATATATATATATATATATATATATATATATATATATATATCATAGATTATCACCCAGCATTGCGGGAAATTTATGGAATTTTTAGGGAATTGCAAAATATTGTAGGCTTATCTAGCAAGTTCTTAAGTGTCATGCCAGAGCCACCTATGGTGTGTTTTAGGAGATCCAAAAACCTTAAAGACCATCTTGTTCGGGCTAAATTGTATAAGCTTGAGGTTGCAGCTAGAGGGATGGTTAAATGTGGGGGGAAAAAGTGCAAGGTTTGTGATTCCATCGTGGTAGCGGATACTTTTCAAAGTACAGTACAACGGCGCACGTTTCACATTAATTTTATTTAATTACTTGCGGAAAATGTAATAAACAATACGTGGGCAATACGGTAACGTCATTTCGTCTTAGATTTAATAACCACAAGAGTTCGCTTAATAGATTTTCTAAGGGCCAAAGAGGTTTATGTGGTCAACATTTGTATGAACATTTTTTTGAGGAGGGCCATTCAGGTCTTAATGATTTTAAAGCACAGATTATTGATATCACGGATGTTAATAAACCTACAGAGAGGGAAAGTTTTTGGATTGAAAAATTGAATACATATGTACCACTGGGATTAAATTTGAGGGAGGAATATTAATGCAAGTCTATATATATTATTAGTGTATGTTAATTAGGATTAGGCCAAAGGTATTTAAGGACATGGATTTGAACTTATCTCGTTTCTGACGAAGGGGCTGTGCCCCGAAACGTATCTTTACAACATGTATCTATTCATTTGAAGTTTAATAAAATTTATTTTCTATTTGAAGCTTTATATAAATGAAGTTTTTTGGGAGGCTAGTGATATTTATATATATATATATATATATTATATATATATATATATATATATATATATATATATATATATGATACCGCCTGATGATTCTTTACTAATGAAACAGACTGTTGCGGAATATATATATATATATATATATATATATATATATATATATATATATATATATATATATATATATATATATATATATATATGTATATATATATATAGCGAGTATTTTTATTTGTTTTTGTTACGTCATGCCGATAAAAAAGCGGCGAATGGATTTACTTTCAATTAAATGACTAGGCTATAAGAGTCTATATCTACACTAGTGTAGAACCTGCGACTTAAAACCATTATCATAATTAGACGTAAAACCATATATAATTTTTATGAATCAATTAATCTCTTAATCTTACAAAGATGAAAAATAATATATAACTTGTGTTTGTGCTCATCCAGATAGAACATAAAAATTTTGTTCATTTACATACATTGTATTTTCTACGCATAATTTTTTAATCCTACCATTTTATCCATGCTGTAATCATCAATAGACCTTACCGATTATTCTCTTTTACCCAATTAATGGACAAATTTAATTGTTTCCTGCCAGTGTTCTTAGGCTCAATAACATAGTAATTTTCAACCTACTAAGCACAAAACATGACTAAGTATTTGACATGAAAACGAGGCCATTGCCATTAGATGAAAATGAAATACACGGTAATGTCTATTAACATACAGTATCTTAAAATGTATTTAAAAAGGCTAATGAATTGTTAGCAATTAATTATCTTATTCTATCATATGAGAGGTAATTTCAAAACATATGCCTAGGAAATGAATGCTGCTCAGAAACGGTTGTTTGGGCAGGGAATGTCACTTTAAATAATTATATACATTTAGCTATATTGACGTATTACATAGGTTCAATGTTGGCTGCAATGAAAATGTTATTCTTAATCATGCAGGCACAATTTTTAATCATAATCCAAATGAAAACTTGAGGAAACTTTTTCAATCGGTGACTCCCTTCCCCAAATTTTCTGCCAAATGTTCAGGTAATTTTTGATGGCACCCTCAAAATTGCAATGTTGAAAAATTATTCTGACGAAGGGCCTTCTCTTGCAACGTCCAAATTCTCCTTGTATTTTTCAGGTATTTCATTGCATCCCAGTTTTGTTATTAATGGCACTACCTACACTGACACAGACCGTTCAAGGTTGAAAAATTATGACCACCCCCTCCCCACTCCACCCACCTGAGAAATACTGACCTCATAGTTAACAGCTATGTTATATAGGGTTGACGGTTATCATGCATGTTGACAGCAATGCTTTAAATAAGTTCTCAGCTCACACAATCAAGGTGGGGGCGTGTAGCTAAGAATTTGTCGTTGGAGGGTGTAAGGGTCCAAATTACCTAATTTCTGAAATTACTTTTATGTTACCTAAAGCATTTTTTAAAAATTTAGTGTGATTTTGTGATGAGTACATTCAAGTAGCAGGTGTTTCTTCTGAAAGAATATATTAGCATACCATTATTATAGGGGGGGGTCCAGTGGAATGCTCATCTGAGAATACTACATCCCCAGTCACTACATCCCAGGGGGGGCGGGGGCGGTTAAATGCAATGCTGATTAACAAATTAAAACTTCAAATGCTTTTGACAAGCATTGCAGCTTTAAATGAACATACACAATAGTTCAATCTGTAATTGTTCTTTAGATGCAAACAACGGTAAATAGCTAGATGCAAACTGTCAGCAAAGGCCAGCAAACAACATTGATATAAAAAGGCTAGAATTTTTTAATTCCCCATTTTAACATTGAATTCTACTAACCGATTTTGTTGGAATCCATTTGTTCGAACAGAACACCCAGCGTATACAAGACATCAGTCTTTGAGTATTAATGAATGACATTCATCAATTCATTCTATCCATTTTATTCACTTTCTATTTTGTTTATTTTTGTTTTATTTACATTTACAAAATACTTCATGTAAAATAAATATAATGTAAGCAGTGCCGGCTCAGAAGGTAGCCATCTTGATTGTTTATGTTTCCAGCCAGAAAATAAAAAAGAATTTGAAAAGAAATGTTGTTTCTGAAATAAAAACATAGTAAAAGAAATGGACAGATTTTCTTGGATATCTAGTAATACACAACTACAAGCAGGAGAACTGCTTGTTATACAGCAACGTGGTTTACGTATTTATGACGGCGAGAATAAGGTAGGTCTATAACTGACTATATTAAATCTGAGGACTGACGCTTTTAAAATACGAAAACTGCAATAATTAGAATAGGATATTATATTGTTATTATTAGTTCTTTATTATTTATATTTACTATATATCCATATATATATAGTTAACATAATGATAAACAATAATAAAAACATGGGAATGCCAATATTAACAATATTAATATAGGATTATTGTTGTTGATGTTGGTGAATTAAAAAATAAAATACAAAGAGCACAAATACACAGAAATATGAGTGTATCATGTGTACGTATATGTCTCAGATGTGTACAGAGTGCAGTTGTGGACTAAAGCTGGTTTTCCACTAGGCGGAATTTCGTGCATGGAGAGGACTTTTTCTTTGTCTTGCGACTTCTCACGTGGAACTAATTAGAAAAGACAAAGAAAAATTCCGTTCCATGCACAAAATTCTGCCTTAGTGGAAAACCGGCTTTAAGGCATGGCTAGACCACAGGTCTCACAGGTGGGAATTTTGTTGTCACTGGTCAGTAAATTGCGGGCGCTTGCAAAAAAGTTTTTCAAAAATTATTAAAGTAAGCAAAAACAAGTATTTGGGCCTGCACAGGGTTCGAGATTGGAATTTTTTTACTAGTATCCATTATGGATACCAGCATTTCAAACTTGGTATCCAAATTCAAAAACCGGTATCCAAATAGAAGAATATATGGTAGAATCATGATATTGGATGTTCAAAACTTCAAAACACATGTACACACAAAACCATTAGGTATTCTTTACTTTTAGTTCACTACAGGGTACACAGAACATTGATAAAGTAAGTTACAAAGTAGAATAAATATGCATTATTTCTAAATATATAAACCCTAACCATATTACATATATATATAAACATATTATTATAAATTTCCTCTGTTCTTCACCAGACTATTTTGCTGTAAAGACTAAAATATGTAGCTATAAATATGAAATACTTCAATGTCTGATTGTAAATTTATTGTCACTTTAAATTTGGTATTCAAACAATCATGTGCTTCAAGATCAAAACATGAAAAAATCCTATGGGAATTCCTATAGGATCCTATAGGAATTCCTATAGGAAATTGGGCCAAAATCTAATAGGAATTCCTATAGGATTTCCTATAGGAATTCCTATAGGATCCTATAGGAAATTGGTCCAAAATCTAATAGGAATTCCTATTGGAATAGGAATTCCTTAGATTCACATAGAAATTCATATTGGATCATATAGACATTCTTGCATAATCCTCTAAATCAAACTGCCTAAAAGAGTTATTTACCACGGTGAAGGAAAAAGAGAAACAACTAGTGAAAAAAAAATTATTACAGATAAAAATGTGGCAAATATAACAGGCTATATTTACATATAACATACTAATTTAGGCTATTTATCTTTTTAACTTATGACATATGTTTCTTTTATTTTCTTACTTTTAAAAAATTTTTAGACATAAAATTGTACTATATTATATTACCTATATTATGTATTTAAAAAATAGAAAATTCTGTATGCACTACATAAGTTTTATTTTCTGTCATTCTTATACATGACTATGTTTAGTTCTGATTGCACAGCAATGTGTTGTGGTGAATAGAGTTTCGCACAAAGCCGTATTATAACACTTTCCACTGCACAAACAATATTATGACCTAACAAACCATTTGTTCAAGTCCATTGATTTCTTCATGTACATTTAATACTGCTCCAAGCACAGCATGCAAATGCCACCAGAGATCCATCATATTGGAATCTATAAAAGGAAAACTTTATTTATTTGAAAATATAATCATAATTAGTAAATTATACCCTATAAAAAACTAGAACAATGGAACAATGCTTCCTAAACTGAGACACTCCTCAGTCAGTTATAAGGGACTATTAACTCTTGATGTAAAAACAGTTTTTAATTAATATTTAACAATTATTGAATGAGGTTGAGCATGATATGAAGAATTATCAAGCCCAAAGTTTGCTGTTATCAACTGAAGCCGAAGGCTGAGGTTGATAACCGTTACGGCAAACTGAGGGATTGATAATTCTTCATATTGTGCAAAAACCAATAATTGTTTTATTATTTATTAAAAAATCAAAACAAATGGAACCCATTTGTATTTTATTTGTATTAAGAATAAAGTTGATATGACAATTTCACAGTTGGCTGTTAGCCAATCAGAAACCAGAAATTTTTTAAATAAATATTAAGATTTATCCTTTATATATAAGATAATTTCCATAGTTTATTGTCATAATCACCATGAATTGCAGAGAAGAATGCGGAGTAGAAATGTAGCCTGAATGCCTGATAATGAAAACACCCACCAATTTCAGGTGAATTTGCGGGTGTTTCAGGCTCTCAGCAATTAGCTACCAGAAGCAAAATTTGAAGCAAAGTAAAATTTATATTTTAGCGTTCGCTGCTCAAAGTTTAGGAGTGTTTCAAAACTTATCGGTAAAATTATGTATATAATGTACAGTACCGCTCGCGCACTTTTTTGCGTATGATACGCGTATCATATGCGTGTTGTATCATATGAATACGCGTATCATATGCGTATTATACGCGTAGTGTATCATAATATTAGGCGTATGCATATATTAGGCGTATGCAATCATACTCGTAGCGTATCATATGAATACGCGTATCAACTACGCAGGCCTTAAAATATCTTTTCCAAGGCCGTCTGACAAAATGTCCGGTGACGTTGAGTTTGGGTCGGACATATGTCCGATGACTTTCAGTTCAGTTTTGACTCGGAAATAAGTCAAATCAAACACAAATGAATAAACGGTAAATGTTGTGACGATATTAAATAATTTCTTTCATACTTATTTCCAAGCCAAAATTAACTCACTTGCCAGAACAGCAGTGTTAAAAAAGACTTCGACAACTTAAGCCCGTTTTCCACTTCACCATTTCGCTCGCCGCCCCGCGCTCGACTACGTTAAAACAACATTTCCAGTACACCTTCTATACAATAGTACGTCGTACAAAGCTACAGTTCGGTCGGACACCAATTCACTTGAGTCGGACAAACAATAAACCTCAGTTTCACTTTGGTTGGACAGAATGTCCGGTGGTTTCCTCTCTACGTCGGACAATTTCACGAATGGGTCGGACAATGTCCGTGACCGACCTATATTTTAAGGCCTGACTACGTTCGAAACTAAATTTGATACTTGCATATACGCGTATGATAATTGAGAATGATACACGTTATACAAAACTCCGTTCAGGTAGTAAGTGCCCTTTTCGATACAATATAGAGCTGATTACGCTGCCGCACTGCCCATACACAGTGGACAACACAGTGGTCCATACAACACCGCGGAAAAACGTCTGCGCATGCGTCAACCTTACCTGTAATAGTATTGCGAACTTGATGAGAAGCTGTTCCGAACGTTTCCGAAGGCTCAAAATGGCGGTAAAAAGGAGTGACTTCATTGTGCGTCTTTACAGCCAGATTTCAAGCGCAAAAATAAACATGTCATTCTAAAAACTAGAAATAAATACAGCCAGAAGGTTCAAGAAATTGTATTGTACAAGAACATGAACTAAAGGTGATTGTTGACAAATTTATCGCCTGAAACATTTTGTTTATCAACTAAGCAATGACAATTTCCGAATTTTCGTTTGAGATACATTTCTTTAAAAAAAACTGTGTCGCCAAATAATACACAATAATTAAACTTTAGGATTTATTCTACAATTTGAGTGGGTTAAGAAGCTTAACTTTTCGAGAGTTTTCTTAACTTTTTAGTTTGAATTTTTGTTTTGAATAATTTTGCAAGTCGTGTCCGTTAAAATCAACATTTTTTTACATTGATTTCATTCCATACTTTAAATGCCAGGACGCTTTCAATTAATGTCTAATCTACCCATTTGCTATATTTTCTCGTTTGTTTTACTAATTTTTGACCAATTAATAAGCATATTTTTGTTTTAGAAATTGATATTCAAATTCCCCGCCATATTTTCATAATTTGGTGCATGCGCAGACGTTTTTCCGCGGTGTTGGTCCATACACAGTGGACAACTCGAAAGCATTATGCTACTTTGTCCACTGCGCATGACATAATGAATTATTAACTCCAATTTATATCTACTACTCACCATAACCTATAGTTATTACTCTTCACTTTTGTAAATAATCTATATGACGTGCGCAACTTCAATAATATTGTACACACCGGACGTGATTCGACAACGCGACGCGATTTTCCATTTTCATTGAACGATAACTTTGATCCTAGTTTAAATTTTCCAAATATTTAGAAGCGCTATAACATTTCGAGTTATTTGGTCTACATATCTTTTAAAATTTGCTTTCATTGGCTGTTTTATTAATTAACTTTCAAAAACTAAATTGTCCAATCGCGTCCGGTGTGTCTGGACCTTAAGACACCGTGCACGATGTTTTAATCAGATAGCCTATAGAATATAGGTCCTGAGAAAATTGTAACAGCGTTGTCTCCTTATCTACAAACAGTCTGAAAGTAATGTTCACAAAACAGGCGGTGGCCCAAGTTATTTAATCAACAATTATTACTATTATCATTATTACCTAGAATCCAACTATACAGTAGGTTGGTGCTTATTGAATATTGTATTGTAGCTCAGTTTAAAACTCCCAATATACGTGTATGTACAGTATACCTGTTTCGGAATTAATAGGCGAATTGTAGCCTAATAGCGCCTATATATGATATGCGTATTTGCAGGGCGCTACAAAACACGTCTTTTATAGCGCCCTAATATTTCAATTGTTTTTAATGCGTATTCGTATGATACTCGCGTTCGTATGATACGCGTATTCGTATGATACGCGTATTAATTCGTATGATACGCGTATTCGTATGATATACGCGTATTCTATGAAACACCGTACGAGTATTCGGCACCGGGAGAGTTGACAGGTCTGCATTAATGGGTTAAATGGATCTACTAGATAGTTATTGTCAACATAATTTATATACAGTAGGTTGTATAGTGAATTTTGTTTCATCATATTAGTGTTTGTATGTAAAAATAGGCGAGCCCTTGTAAGAAATTACATAAATAACAGAATTGAAATAATTTCATACTTTAGACAAACTTTGATAATGGTAATCTGATGTTGACGTCACATGCTTTGATTTGGGAAGATGAAGAGCAACAGGTGATAATACTTCATGTTTTTCATTTTTGTCTTAAAAATCAGAAGAACTAGGTTTCCCAGGAAACATTGCTTCTGGGTGAATGTCCTGTTATCTTGTTATCGAGCTGTCTTGTTATCGTCGCTACCTACTCTGGCACAGGCCGAAAGCCCAGAGCCTTGAAGTTGAAATCTATGTTCTATTGATTCATACTAATTTTATAGGATAGAAGAATTCGATTAGGTCTTGAATTAATTACAAGAACAGAGGAACATGCAGCAGGATTTATGAAAAGGTAATAAATTGTGTAAATTATATAAATTAAGATATTTTTTATTGGAATATTTTATTACTGGACTTATATAAAGATAAATTATGCAAACCATTTGCTTATTACAGTATTATACTATTGTTCCCAGTAAATTGCGAAACGACCGTTTTTTAGGCGGTTTGTCAGTGACAGTTTCGCCAATTACGAAGGACATATTTGTGTACCTCGTGATCACAATTTGTTGCAAGCGGCGTGTGAAAAACTGCAAGTTTTAGTTTGACAGTTCTGACAGTTAAATGAGTTTCTAATTTTATTGTCCAATCAGATGCGTAGTTTTGAATTTTAAATCAAAACTACGCACCTGATTGGACAATAAAATTAGAAACCATTTAACTGTCAGAACTGTCAAACTGAAACTTGCAGTTTTTCACACGCCGCTTGCAACGAATTGTGATCACGAGGTACACAAATATGTCCTTCGTAATTGACAAAACTGTCACTGACAAACCGCCTAAAAAAATGGTCGTTTCGCAGTTTACTGGGAACAATAGTACATCTTGCAAAGATTAACCAGCCACTCCCTACCCTCTATGGTGTGTTTGTAGGCTCCAGGCCCCCACAACAAACTCATCCAATGATTGTTGATAAATCCAAAAACTGCAGAGGACCCACATACCTCTTCTCAACCTTCTCTGATGATTCTAGTCAGCAAGGGGAAATTGTTGGGCAAGAATGGGCAATATACTACATTACATTTTGGAAGTTGTATGTACTGTACAGTATTTACCATATATGAGCGGCTGTGTTGTATGACTTGTATTGGATTTACAACATGGATGAGAATGTTGTAAATAGCTTGTGAAATGTCTTGATGAGAGAAATTTATAATAAATTAATGATATTTGGTGAGAAAATTGAACTTAAAGTTTATGTAAATCAGCATGATTCTGTATCAGATATATAAACTCCTTCACGCTCATGACTTTTTTGTACGCCAACCGAAATTTCAGAGCAAATAGCGAAGATCTGAAACTATCTGCATGCAAAATTTCATCACAGCAGTATAAATAGTTTCGGAATGGAATCAATTCTCCTTTTTTATTTTTAACGGTCTAAATTTAATGAATTTCACAATATAATTATATTTACTGCCAACGTGTTGATGAATAAATCTTTATTATTACTTTTAGTGCCAAAATATTTCTTTACTTGAATCCTCCACTGGCCAGTAAAGATCCTGGTCCATTTAGTTCAAGTGCGTTCACGTATATTAAATTATCATTTCGCTCTGGAGGTCACACTGAGGTATTTATTTACTGTACTCATTTTGTGCATGAAACGCAAATTTTTTGTCAGTTTTGTATGGTTAAGTATGGTACTGGTTATAGGTCTAACGTCTACTAGTTAATATAGGTCTAATACTGTTATATGTATTGTCATGAGTAAATACCCCATATGATGGCCAAAGGGTGCCGACAATAACGTAACAATAGAAAGATTAACATCAATTAGCATCATTAACATCAATTAGCGATGACGATATCATTAAATAAATGTTAATTAGCGATATCGATTTTAAAATAACATTAACATGCGATCATTCAGTGAACGAATAGCAAGAGCATATAGAGTAATAGCACATGGCCTAAGCACGACAGTTTTTTGGAGGGTATAGCTCTGTTGGAGAGGATGCACGCTACGTTTAGTAAGGCTGTAACCACGAACTGAAGTCAATTTGGCTGTCAAGTAGGTACTCAAGCTACCGACCAACGACTATCCCGGCTTGGCAAATCCCAATGATGTCGAGAATTCACCTCTCCAAAGACAGAACTATTGTCACACAAAGTGGAAACCGGAATACAAAAACGAACAAAAAAAAACCACACAAATACTTACCCAAGTGACGGAACATACAACACCAAACAATAAATAATACTCCCTGACAAAGCAAAGATAACAATACCATAGCTGAAAAGAATGAAAAGCTCTGCAACGCAGTACGTGACTACAAAAAAGCAGATTAGTGTTAAAACCAATTTGAGTAACAAGGGGAATAATCATCCAGAATAGCTGGAGGTATGCCCGCGAGCGGGCGCGGCAAGTAAGCACAACGAAAAAATATCCAACAGGACAACAATTGGCGTAATCGACAGCGCACCCCCAAAACACGAGACGTAACAACATAAAACGCAAGTATTACGTAGACTACGAGAACAAAGAAAAGTGACTGAACACAATAAGCTACCCAGGGGTGCGCCTTGATTGTCGGCCAAAACAATACATTACAGTACTCCAATTAACGATACAGGCACCTCTGATCAGCAGCGACCAGGAAACGCTGATACTAATATTTACCCAGACCTCCGCTGGTTTGCAATAACTGAAAGCATAGAATGTAAAGCAACCCATAGAAGCCAACAAAAGCGGGCAGACACTCCCAGCAAGCGGGTTAGCACCAGCAGAACCCCCCCCCCCAGAAAACCAGTGCGAACAAGCAATGTCCTCCCAAAAAAGGGGTGGGTGGGTGGGGACGTTGTGAACTTGAAGGTCTGCAAGCAATGAGCTATACCTGTGAGCTCCACGGCTTAAATAATCTCGGTAAACCTGCATAATAACTAATATGAATATATAATTATATATACATAAACAACACGCACACATTCGTTCTCGAAGTTAATTATTTTTATTGCATAAAATCATATATAGTGATACCGTTATCATATATGTAAATAACAACACGGCCATATCGAGACCATTAAAATAACAACAACGATGTCAATAATATTATAAATACTAGGTAGTAGCAAAATTGATAATGCAATTTGATTTTCATCGCAAAAGTTTTCGTATGAGAATCTCAGTACAACAATCGTATCATTGATTATGGAGCGCCTGCAAGGAAAACATGAAAGTGTAAAGACTAAAGGTAACCTGGAGGTAAGAACTATCATCGGACATTTGATCAAGTTAGTTTTTATTGAATATATGCGAAGGAAAATTGAAGAATTACGACAAGTTACATTTAGCAAACAAGACCCACAGAATATATGCATGGTCATCACTTAGAAAAGATTGCAGGGATAGTGAAAAAATGAAGATTGGATTTCGTATACAAAAGCCTCGTCGGAAATAAACTTTGAAGACATTTGGCAACGTTGTCTAGTAGGCTTCAAGACTGTTGACTTTCTTAAGTTAATGTGACTTCTGAATATAAACATTATTTAGAAACGTTATGTGCCTTGCTATGGTACAAGTGGATAGAATTGTGTGAAGAAACAGAAACAACAACGAACTTGCAACATTTATTAAATTGCGTATTTACAATGTAGTAGAAAATTTATAGAATAGTCTATATTCTTGTAGTAGAAAGCATATTGACAAATAAAACAATGTAGCACCGAATATTGTACGTTTTTTTAATTGTTCATGGTTGTGTTTCAGCATTCCATCTTTAACCATACCAGAGCCATTCTGTAATCTTTGTGACACTGACATAGTGCAAGAAGCCGTTCGAATAAGTGTAGACGATTTAAAACAATTTGATTTAGCGAGTAAAATGAAGCTATGAAGTAAAATTATCTGGTTTACATGCAGGTATAAACTGGCTGTTGAGAAAGATCGTGACTCTATTTTTACGACCATTCAATGACCATATGGAAACCAGGCTTTACGACATCGCCCAAACGCGATTATGCTGAGTTTGCAAGAAACGGGCTTTAAGGAGAATGGCAACCAGCCAAAACAGAACGGTGATGAGTTTGGGTTAGCGTTGTGCTTTTCGGTTTGCTTGTTAGATTTGTACGTCTCCAAACAAAAGAGGGATTGTAAGTATCGTGCTAAATGAAAAGAGCAGTGGAGTACCATACCACAACGATGTGAGCAGGATACCCAATTTTTGTGGATATACCATATAAAATTAATTGCAATACCAGTACAAAACAAATTATTACAAAACGTCAGAATAAAAAGTACAGATTATAGTGTACGATAAGCGTGTAATTTCTGATAATATTTTTAATACACAATTCCTTATGGATTTTAACTATTGTTAGTTCGATTTCAGTTTATCATACATTCGTTTCTTGTCAGTTGATGCGTTTTTCAGTGTTGGTTTTTTTTGAGGTTCAATATTCGAGTTCAATTTGTAATTACCATTTACAGTCCCAGTTCTCTCAGCTGTCGCAGCTTGTCCATCTTCCATTATGAACTTTTGATAAAATTCGTAATAGCGTTCATGAAAATACTTATTCATTTGCCTCAAAAACTCCAGCTCAGTCTTCATTCTTTGGCGATATCGTCTGTTGTTTAGAATGCATTGTTCTCGCCTATTCAAGGTAACATATATAGTATAACTTTGAAATGCCGTGTCTGCCGCAACCTGTGTATCTTCTGTAGCGAACGTTTGATAGATTTCCGAATGGTTTTGCATGAAATACTGCTTCATTCGCCGCAGATAGTCTATCTCTCTCTTCATTCTTTGGCGATATCGCCTGCTGTTTAAAATGCACTGCTCTCGCCTGTCCATGGTAACAGTATGATCAATTTGAAATTGCGTCCCTCTTATATAGTGGAGAACACTGTCATTATAAGTTCGTTCACTTTGAAGTGGCGCTGGTCGATTGTTTAACCATTCTATACTTAAGTTAATTATTAATAAGTAAGGTAATTGACTGCAATAAATTATCTGCTAATTGTTGCATTTTGGTAAGCGGCAAGTCCTTCAAAGTAAGCGGCTCTTATCCTAATTTTTCTCAGTGTATTATCTCTGTAAATACTATAAATTTTGTGTGAAAATATATATTTTCAAAATCAACTGACGTATTTGCTGTTTTGGTTTTGAGAGGGTTATGTTGTTAGTTTTGAATTTAATTCAAAGAATCAGGCTACAATGCCGCAAAAAGAAAGACCCTAATGGACTGAATAATTTGCTGATCTGGACTTGATCGCCACGGTGATATCGAGATCATAAACATAACAACATTGTGATACCGATATATGCTTTGAATAACAACATAACGATAACGATATCACGAGTGTTGGGGATGACCCCACCGACACAGAGTTTCGGCTCATAAGGCTGGAAAAAAGCCTTCCATGTCATATTATAGCAGTGCATGAATATGATATGAGCAGGGTGTTCCTTGCGCTCATGGGCAGACTCAAAGTCTGTGCTCATACACTCATAAGACTCGATGGTGATGACTTGGCACTTGCCTGGACGTGTTGTGCGTATGTGCATATGAGCAGGGTGCTCCTTGCGCTCATGGGCAGAGTCAAAGTCTCACTCATACGTTCATAAGGTAAGACTGCATGTGACAATGATACAGAATGACTCTGGTATGCCGAGTCATTGTTAGAGACGGAATGCTGAAACACAACCATGAACAAAAAAGTACAATATTCGGAGCTACATTGTTTTATTTGTCAATATGCTTTTCTACTACAAGAATATAGACTATTCTATAGATTTTCTACTACATTGTAAATACGCAATTTAACAAATGTTGCAAGTTCGTTGTTGTTTCTGTTTCTTCACACAATTCTATCCACTTGTACCATAGCAAGGCACATAACGTTTCTAAATAATGTTTATATTCAGAAGTCACATTAAGAAAGTCAACAGTCTTGAAGCCTACTAGACAACATTGCCATGCAAATGTCTTCAAAGTTTATTTCCGACGAGGCTTTTGCATACGAAATCCAATCTCCATTTTTTCCACTATCCCTGCAATATTTTCTATATAATTGATGACTATATATTCTGTGGGTCTTGTTTGCTAAATGTAACTTGTCGTAATTCTTCAATGATCATATGTCCGATGATAGTTCTTGCCTTCAGTCTATACCTTGACACACTCAGGTTTTCTTTGTAGGCGTGAGGTTCAGATTTGACGTCCACTACCGCTACCGCCTACCATTAAGCGACAATTAGCCAATCAGGTGCGTTTGATATATTCGATTAACCAATCAGAAGTGCATTAAGCCAGTGAGAGGTAGTGCACTAGCTGTAGCGGTAGTAGAAGTCAAATCTGAACCTCTGTTATTTATATATATATGATAATGGTACCACCATATTGTTTTTTTAATAAGATTGATATCGCTAATTATTATGATCGCCAATTGATGTTCATGGAGCAAATTGTTGTTAATGACTTTTCTATCGTGACGTTAATTTTTCTATTGTGACGTCATTGTCGCCGGGCGAGTTATCTATTGTCATGATATATTTTTCTGTAAATATAAAATCGTGAATTTACCGTTATTCTATATAATTATTATTTGTATGCATGTGTGTGCATGTTTAGTTCCACAAACTATTGGAACAACAACTACAGAAGAAGGCTTGGTTACAAGGAAAACCAAAAGAAGTTGTTGCACCCAGAGTAAGTTAATTATACCCTGAATGTATCTAATATTTTCAGTTTACTTTTAATAAGTGGGTGTCAGTAAGGATTATGGGGCGAACGATGGTGCAGTGACGGACACATGGGGTAGGGGGTGGGGTGGGAGCAACCTCCCCAATAATTTCCGAAATCTTTCACTGACAGCTGAATAACCGTGTAACAAAACTGTGACAATTATTTTTTGACCGCGAAAGCCAGTAGTACACACGCAAAAATCTCACATCTTGCAGCATGTATGCCAACAAGTCGTCAACAACTTGTACTTGCACTGGTTGTCGTTGTCAACAAGTTTGGAACAAGCTGTTACATCTTGTAACAACCTTATCATCATTGTTGCAAGGTTGTTACAACAAGTCCGATACATGCAGTTATTGTATAACAATATTGTTAAAACCTTGTACATGTCGTCGACCTTGTAAGCATTCTTGTTATATCATGACTGTATCACACATGTTAGAACAAATTTGTAAGTTAACAAGTCTGATAATGTCATCAAGCTTGTTCCAAGTTGTTAACAGCTTCGGTTCCAAACTTGTTACAATAACTGGGAACAAGCAGTGCGGACACAGTTGTCGACTTCTTGTGAACAGATTTATAACAACTTGTTTGCAGACCTGTAACAAGTTTTATATTTTTACGTGTGTAGGCTATAGATTAAACTATATACAGTATTGTATGAGATTTAAGGAAAAAAGTTTAAAAAACAATTTTTGGCCACAAATGCGAAAAAACGCGCAGAAAATTTAAAATGCACGGAAACCTATATGCGAAGTTACGGTTTAGGCAAAAAGCATTAACTTTGATATTCTAACTTGTTAATTAATAGCTACATATTTTAGGACATTTATCAGCTGTTAAATTAGTTATCAAAAATTGCCTGTCGTGTTGCGGTCGTGTTTCTAAAGGTTTCGTATCTGTATAGGTTCACAGGCGAGGTCCTGGGATTGTTGGAATTGAAAGAAACTTGGAAGAAAAGTCACGTGCGACAGGCAAGACAATAACTCAGGTACTATGCAACCTATCTGGGCAAACTATAGGAAAAATATGTCGGAAACATCTGAATTAAGTGCTAACTGAGATATTTGCCTGCCCACCTCAGAGTGTTTCCCACAAATTCAGGAACATAAACATTTTGTTTCCCATGCAAGTGTGATTAGTGTTCCTGGTTTCCAAATTCCAACCTTCGGAAAAAATGACCAAAATATAAATGTTCCCCAATAGTATTTCCTGTAGTTTGTTGCTTATACGACGATAATCGCTTTACAACGTTTACAGAATAGTAATACATGTCTAATTCTTTCTTGATTATCATCATCATCAAACATTTAAATGCATGTATTAATTGTCCAACATGGTGTTTCAGGCGTTTAAAGATCTGGACGCTTTAATGGAAAAGGTGAGAATTATTAAGTGTAAATTATATTGTGTTAATTATAATGATGCTTTCTAAAGACTGAAATGCATACGTTAAAATGCACAGGAATTAGGGCAGCGTGGCATTTTCAAGACAGTATACTGTACGCGCGAGAAAGATGAGTTGAAATTTTCATTTGTTTGTACTACATACAACCGGGTTTATATGTAGTAGATTTTGAAATTTACTATTCCTTCTGAAGATCCAGTACTCTTTTTTGTCTCTGAGATCCTGTTCACAGACTAATGTCTCTTACAATTGTGACGTATAAAGCCTCAAAAACCTTTGAACTGAAGTCCATATATGTAGCAAAGATATTTAGCAAACATGCACTTCTGTTGTTAACAGGGTTTTATTTACAGTCCAAGAATCCATCAGAATAGGGTAAATTTCGACCACTGAAAAGCAGTTTTATTAATTGTAGCGATTTGAAACACTAAAAAGGTTTAAAAAAAAGAAGGCATTAGCCTAGTTTTTTAGTTATAGTTTATGGATGTTTATTATAGCGTATAGTATCTCCCTCCTCCGCAGACTGAGGCTGATTAATTTAGAAAGAATTTCGTGAAGCGGTTATTTTCACTTTTTTTACCTCTAGCCCATGCAATTACGTAATTCTTTCTAAATTAATCCTTTAAAAGTCTCTGCGGAGGAGAGAGGCGTAGTATCAACAAAACGATACGGTGCTGATTTTCTATGTGGTTTGATGTAGATTACTAACGAGGTAATCTTACCTTCAGGCGAAGGAGATGGTTGCTTTGGCAGATAAATTTGCGTCAAAAATAGAGGAGAAGAAAGGAAGCATAACTGAAGATGAAGTAAGTTGAGATATTATGTTTGTCGCAACAAAAGTGTTGCAAGACTTGATGATTGCGAGGCATGTTACACCTTGCAACTTTGCGTTCAACTTGTGTCGTAACAAAATTGCGAGACAAGTTGCATAGTGTAACGGCGCCTGAATGGAGTTGGTAATAAACACGATGCTCTATAGCCAAGATGTCCTACTTTCTGGAAGATGTGTTGGTTCTATCCTGTGATTCCAGAATCGACCGTTTTCTCTGGTACTGCGGTTTTCCTCTCTGATCAAAAACGTATAAGCCTTAGTTGCCGAGCACATCATCATCTGACTCGGGTGAATTGGGCAGCAACACCCTGTGTAATCAACATTAAATATTTACGTTATAATATACAATATAATCAGGGGCAAAACTAGCCCCTTTTAATTAGGGGGGTGTCTGCTAGAATTGCCCTGCGAAAGCCGATGATGCCCTGCAAAATTTTTTTTTGGCCACTATTTCTCCCAAAAATGTTGGCAGGGGGGGGGGTATAGGTCGACATTCAAAAAAGGGGCGACAAAATTTTTCCGGACATAAACCAATTAAATTAAGGGTCAAAAAATTTTTTCGGACATATTCCTGTTAAAACATGCATGAAACCCTTATTTTTTTAACAATATCTGTAAAATTTAGGTCTATAAATTCTATTCAATTCCCTCTGGAAGCCCTGGAAGCTACTTAATAACTCTACATTCTATCATTTAAAATCTTTCATTGCCCTGCCAATCCAGATGATTTGCCCTGCCAATCAAGATGATTTGTACTTTGGGAGGGGGGGGGGGTCACACACACCCACACACACACCCTCAAGTTTCGCCCCTGAATATTATGAATAAATTCATAAGAAATATGATTAAATAGGAAATATGATTAAAATAGCAATGTGTTAGAAATTGGGCGTGTTTAATAAATGTAAAGTTTTTCTTTTTAGACTATTTTATTTAAATCATATCTTCTTAGTGTTGGAATTTCAAATCCTGTAACAAGGTTAGTGAAATCGTATAGCTTTAATTGTATAGTATTTGTGCGCTTGTAAGATGATTGTCTTTTTTGTTGTAACTACAGTCTGTTTTAGAATTCTTGCTTTTTGTACAAGCAAGTTATTAAATTTCAAAATTATAAGGTTTTTCTGTATTTTCTCAGAGAAACGCATGGTAGTGGCACAACTTACCATAAGGAATTGGCAAAACAATTGGAGATATTTTTAAGAGAACAATTAAAGGTTTGTCACATCAACATAAATTTGCGATTCAAAAATATAATATATAATTTTTGATTTTCGTTCCTGGGCATGTACTGTACGTATTGAAACAATGCAGGAAACAAGTGCAACACTGAAAACAATATTTTTTTAAATATTTTATTTAGTTTGTTACTTGTTAGCAATCATTTGCATCCACCATTATTATATAGCAAATGTCAAAGTTCAATTTTCCTGTTTGCCGATTGGACAAAACGGTATCACGTGCCGGTCCACAAAACGTCATGTTCACTGCATGCTTTGGCGAGGGGGGCAACAATGAAACAATTATTGACCGGTCAATAATAAAACCGGAAGTGAGGCGCGAGCTGTTCGCGTCAACCAGCAAGTTCAAAGTTCTTTCAAGAGTTTCAGCAGGTCTGCCGGTCAGTTTAATTACAGTTTTGGAATACCAGGTGAATTAATGAGACTTTGACAGTTGCTATATAATAAAACACTTATTTACTGAGACCTCGGGAAAACAGTCTGTTACGACTAATGTCCCCTTTCTTGACTTTATCAGGACGCTGGGGGTATGATGACTCTAACTGACGTCTATTGTAGATTTAACCGAGCAAGAGGAATGGAGGTGAGCTAAACATTTAACCTTTTTAATATATACAACTAAATTAATTATAATAACTTCGTCCTCTGAAGTTCGAAATTTACAATCGCAAAACCTCTGCATGTAAGCACGAAAAGAGCAATGGACGTATTTATGTACATTTCTTAACACTTCTATTTGTTTGTAGCATTTTGCACAACACAACTTCCATGCTGCATGGCCACAAATATGTTAGCCTGAACTCAGACGTACGTTTTACTGCCTTAAAATTCCGGTTGCCCCCAGCATCCCCCCCCCCCCCCGCAAATTTTTAGGCAGCGAAACGTACGTCTGTGCTCAGACTACCTATTGATATACAGCTAATTCAATTGGTTGTCCTCTGAAAACTGCAAAACTTCGACCTCTAAGCGAAAAAAGCACAATGGGCGTGTTTATTATTAAGAGATTGTTTATGCATGCAGGTCAGCACATACTGTATGCAAGTGAATTTAATTCCCAAAGGAGTTAAGCATGTCTCACAAACAACTTTCTTTAACGTTAAAAATCCATTGAAGTAGGTTAGACGAGCAAATAAAATAGGCCGAGGCCAAAACGGCTTGTGAGACGTAGCAACCATAACTACGGTGTGTCGAGCTATGTGTATATACAGCTAATTCAGTTAGGGTTGTCCTTTCAAACTCAAAACCTCGATCTCTAAGCATGCATACAGTATACATACTGTATGCATGCCCATCGTGCTTTACGAGCTTACAGGTCGAGGTTTTGAGTTTGAAAGGACAACCCTAATTGAATTAGCTGTATACACTTTCTAAAACATCAACCTTTTAATGTATCTTACACACACAATTGCTCATTTACTGTACGTACTTGACGTATAGTTTCATACATTCTCCACTAATGTGTGAACGCTAGTTCTGCACTGAACGCTATAAGTATGTATTACTTCTGCATCACAGATTATCTGTAATTATAGGACGAGGTTGAGCTGAATATTGAGAAAGCCGCAGGCTGTGGCTGATACCACAAACTGAGGCCTTGAAAATTCTTGATATCACGCGAAAACCGAATTTCTATAACAAAGACGTACAAACATGACTTTACATGCACGTAATGTCTTTAACGATAATTTTCAGCTTGTTTCTCCAGAGGATTTAGTCAACGCATCTCGACAATTCGAGTCTCTTAATCTTCCTTTAAGGTAACTACAGTATATGTGAAGTTGTGTATATTTTATTTTGTAAAAGATCGGTTGCCTTGATGGTTTACATCAATGGCTGCAATGTTTTACCCGTTGATTAGGTTGGTAAGATGATTAAATTTGGTCTCGTAGAACCAATGTTATGGCTGTTTTGAAAATAAAGTCTGGTTCACGCAATGGACCTTTGAAATCATGCATCAGTTGTGTTATTTATATTAGAGAGATTCAGATTTGACTTTCACTACAGCTGCTGCTACCATTAAGGGCATTAACCAATCAGATGCGTTTGGTATATCCAATTAGCCAATCAGATTCGTACAAAGCCAGTGAGAAGTAATGGTAGCGGAAGTCATATCTGAACCTTTCTATTGATAAGTTTGATGACCTCTTATACTATAACAGTGCATGCATGATTATACTGAACAAATTTTAATAATTTTAACGTCAACATTCATCTCTTATATTAAATTTTCGATGCCCACTTCTAATTATAGCTGTGTACACGTCATTTGACATGATCCATAATCGACTGTAAATAAAACAATGCACGCCATCTCCATCATTCAGTGCTAATAATATAATTAAGTAATATAGCAGATGACTATAGGACTGACTACAGTCTTAGAGTTCTCTGCTTGAACTGAGACTATAACAGCGAGTAAGTGCTTTATTTTAACTGAAGTTTAATTAAAGATGACGTTGTATGTTTTCTCAATTCACATTTTCTAGACTACGTTCATTTGATAGTGGAGTGTTGGTCATTCAGTCTTCAAATCATAGTGACGAAGAGGTTATTAGAGACACAAGGGAAAAGGTAAGTTATTGCTGCCGAGCGTCAGCGAGGCAGCACACTATTCTTGACGTGCTAGGGTTTCCCCAGAGTCCTTTCGACCCAGTCTTTCGCGTGACCTATGTATTGTCGAGATCTCGACTTGTGTCTGTCTGTCCATTTTTCCAGGGGAAATAATTAAGCTTCAGGGACATTTTTTAAATGAGGGGGGCGGGCAAATATAATTATATTTTGTATTGCGCACACTGCATGCTTTCAATTCTTCTCAAGATTTTACGAGCTTTTTAATATGGATGCAAATTAAACGATCTACAATATTTAGAATAATTCAGGTAAGGATGGTTTTATTTCTTTCTGTTGACATACATGAAAGCGTTGAACTTTTTAGTATTCGATAAAATATAACATACTGCCATAGTGTTTCATATGTGATTTGTACTTTAATAAAATATAGGAGTATTTCATGAGTTTATTAACAGCCCACTAGGCACTAGCTTAGCCACTAATTGATTGGTCAAAACAACATTTATAAGGTCATTCAATGTCCTCATACAAGGAGTCAAAGTGTACTAAATGCCTTTAGCTTTGTATGTTTGTGTAGCGGTTTGTCAAGGCGATAATTCTAGAATCTAGAGTTTAGCAGCGTGCTTATAAATCCCGGCAGCACTTTTTAGAGCTACAAATGTAGATTATTCTCAAGACATATATTAATATGTTAATTGGTCTGTTTTATTTTTATATATCCTCAAGATATGTTCATATATTAATCGTCTGTAGTGCATGACTACATTTCAGGGTATATTTTCTCAATCTGCTTACAATTTCTTTCCTGTTTAAATGTTATATAGTTTTACAATTCTGACTGAGTAAACAGAATAATATGGATGCATTGTAATCACTGATCTAATAGTAGACTATCAGATCAGTGATTATAATGTAATGGATGTCAAAAAGTTCATCTTAATTTTACTTGGGTGGATCTGTAAACACTGACAACAAAGTACTGTAATTGCATTGCAAAGATAGTCTAGATAGATCCAGCCACTCAGTTGTGCATATGGTTGTTATGAATTTCAGTGAAGCCGATACCAGACCCCCAGGTTTTTAAATGGCCTGAAATTGAAGAAAATTCACAGTCGAATAGGGTTAGGAGTAGGGTTAGGGTACTAAGTCATTGAACCGACAAAGACAGTTAATTAAGCAGTGACTCGTACAATTTACTCAGACTCGGATTTGACTCGGTAAACCGACAAGCTCCGAAATTGAATAAAATTCACAGTCGAATAGGGTAGGGTACGTTAGGGGTGGGGTTAGGATTAGGGCTCTAAGTCATTGAACTACAAAGACCACTAAACAGTGACTCGGATTTGACTCGGTTAATCGACAAACTCCTTTCTGGGCTTGTAAGTTTCAAGATTTTCTTGCGGGCATGCCCCCAAATCCCCAGGGTGCAGAGATTTCATCTCAGCACCAGCCCTCCCAATGGTAAAATTGTTGTGTGTTCCATAAGTTTCCATAGTAGGTAGTCACTAGTGACAATAACACCAGAAAGCTGTGGATTGAGAAGGGATTGCAATAACACCAGAAAGCTGCAGATTTACTTGCATTTTTCAGGTGTAGTTGAATCCCTCTCCATCCACAGGTTTCTGGTGTATACTCAGTCTGAATGTAAATGTTAAGGTTGCTATGAATAATGACAATTATTATTAATGTTAAAATCTGAATATTTTGACACTGGAAATGCAAACATGTGGTCATTGTTGTGTGCCTTCAGCAATGTGAATAAATCAAATGCTAAAACAAACCACTTTATGATTTTGAATCTTCTTCATTATGGTTTAATATTTGCAATCAGGGGGAATAACAACTTCTGGCCATACGGCAGCATTTCTCCCTTGCGATAGTAACTTCTAGTAATAAAGAGAAAAGTGACAAAGGAGTTCAGAAAAATTCATTTACTGATCATTCGTCGTCATAGTGATAGAATCCAGCTAAGATTTTGTACAGATTTTAAAAATTCAAAAATATGCACCGAAATATTTTTGTTGGAGCAGGTACCGTTTGGAGGGGGAGGGGGGGGGGAGAGAGCCTGCAGTAAAACCCTGCTTTTGTGATTAAACGCCCTAATTTCTGTCCGTTAGAATTAACCAACACAAATCCACCTGAAATATGGGAAATCCCGCACCGAAAGAAATGTAATGACTTGTCGCATCAAACAATTCTTGGCGTTGACCAATCAAATTCTACATACAAGAATTGAACATCATTTATTCACAAAAACCGGGTTCTAGTGCATGTCTCTTTTCCCGTTCCACTTACCACCCGTGCCCGCTCCAACGAGGGTCATTTACCCAGGTACACGATACCGAATTACTTTTCATATCAGATTGTCTATTTCAGTCTGATACAAAATTCATCCCATTTACGTTTTGGGTGGATCACGAGTTTCTCGCGTGGACTTAAAAGGCTGGAAAGCATAGCTTACCAGATAAACTTTTTTGTCAAAAGAACTCTAAGTACAGAATTACGTCTTGCATAAGTAACAAAGATGTTTTGAAACTGAAATCTATGCAGAGAATTAAAGTTACAGTTTTTAGAATGTTGCTCTTGGTTTAGTAGTGCCGGCTATTCAGAAGTTTACAGACAACAATCCAAACGAAAATTCCCCTATATAACAGAACATTACTCTGGCCTTACAATATTAAAATTATTAGGAAAATAAATTTAAATGTCTAAAGCTTGAAAGAGGAAAAAAATTGTGAAAGTGGAATGACAAAGCCAAATTACACGTCTCCCGAAACATGCCGGATTAATTTTCATATTACTTCAATGGCGAAGTGATTTGTTAGCGGTGGCGCGTACCGGATTGCCATGGTATCGTTTAAGTAAAAAGTATAAACCGAGAACGCGGGATATAAGTTATATATTTACCCAATGGGCCGCAGGGCCCGAGGGCAAATATATGACTTATATCCCAAGTTCGAGGTTTATATATAACAGATTTATTTTCTAGTTGAGGAGGTTTTCGAACAAGATTTCATCAATTTCAAAGACTATCTATAAAGATTTTTCGAATTTTATCGACAAGTTTAATCTAATTATTTATTCACGGGTTATAACCTGTATACATCCGCAGTACATCAAAGAAAACCGACTCAACTAGAAAATAAAGAGGGGTAAAAACTCCTTGAGATATTTACATTAGAAACAATTGAATAGAAAAATATCAAATTTATCGACAAACAATGAAGAGTTCCGAAACGCATGTCTGATATGGAAAATAATCCGGTTCGAGAATAATCAGGTGTCGTGTCATTGGGGCCTAATATTCGTGCTACCGGTTGTTTTTCTTAAACAGAACTTTTTTTTCATATTTTGTAGCTATTTTCAAATAAGTGCTTGACTGCAGATGAACTGTCAAAAATCTTAAGTCTGTCAGTTATGCTTGCTAAGGAAAGGTGAGAATATTAACGTTTAACCGAACTGTTCAAAAGAAGTGGCCATTACTAGTGCATTTTTTTAAACTGCTTTTAATGTGCTGAAATAATTTTGCTACTTTCAGCTCCATGTAATGACAGTATATAGGCAGAAGACTTTATTAGCGAACATTTGAAGCTGAATTGCGTAATACAGTACTTTCCAGATTAAAAATTTTAAGATACACTGTAAATATGGAAGTGTTACCACAACACCAAAATCGGTGCAAATTCTTGTAGTTGTGTGGACACCAATATGGTGTTAACTTACACTAAATTTGATGTCAATGCACATATTTTCAGTGTTAAGTGGCTCCATACAGTTTTTTGAAAAGTGGAAAAGACACATTTCAGACCAAAAAATGTTGTACATTGATATTTTTATAGAAGAATGAAACCAGATATCTTGTATAGAACAGTATTTTGAGAATCAGAAACTGTAACGGAAAAGTCCGTAACTGTGGTTACTATGCGACAATGACGTTTCAAAATGGCTGCTAATTTGGATTTGAAGTAGTTTAATTCGAAAACAACGTCGCGGTGACCCCCAATTTTTATTTTATTAAAAGTTTTTTTCTAGTATGAGCAATCATTAGGACAATTAGATCTACAGAATTTTTTAAAAATTGGCCTAATGATTACTCATACTAACAGATAACTTTTAATAAAATAAAACTTGGGGGTCACCGACATTGTTTTCAAATTAAATTAATTTTAACGCAAATTAGCAGCCATTTTGAAACGCGTGCGGAAATTGCTACCACATTTGGGCCGAAAATGGTAGCAATTTCCGCACGCAATACAAAAGTATACAAAATTTGCACACTTTGCAAGGCTGTATTTTCTGCATTTTACAACATTTCGCAGTCAAACTTTGCAGTTTTACTCATTTTAGTATGCTCTTTGTAGCTGTGGTGATTTATTTGCATCTCCTTGCCTAGTTTTAAAATTAGCCTATAATGAGAATTGTCTATTCATCGCCAATTATTATAATGTGTCCCAACAGGTTCAGGTTATGTTCATCATAAATCAAGCAAGTGGTCGTTACTATCAATGTTTAACTGTTCTCTTGCAGGTTACTTGTGACAGAGAAAGCTGGCAAAGCATGTCGGGATGATTCTGTTGAAGGTTCAAAATTTTATCCCAACTTTTTTCTCGAAACACCCGTTGAATGAAACTTTGTGAATGAATTAATTCCCCCAGAGGAAATCGACGAGAATTTTGATTAAAAGACGCTGTCGTTAGACCAGGGCACGTCGCCTGTGGTTATTATTGTAAAGAAAGAACGTACCTATGTTAATACCAGCATGATATTTTTATGATGTTCAAACTGAGTTTACCATATGTATAGTAATTGCAATTTCAATACTGTGCCAAAACGAATGACGAAATACACCCCTTACAATAAAAGCGGGTGTTTTGTCTTTATTTTTATGTTTGGAAGACCGTTTAATTTAAAAAAGTATTGTCGCCAATTGAAAAGCATGTCATGGCAATTTTACAAAATCGCTCAAGTCCTTGTAGTTTGCAATTGGCAAAATACAGTACCGTCGCTCATTCACGCTTTTTTGAGAGTATAAAAGTCTGACGTCTCGTGTACCAAATAAATCCAAATTGACAACCGCCCCCCCCCCCTAACGAAAACATTGCAATAAAACAATAGAAGTGGTGTCCAGTTATGCCGGTGTTTACAATAAAACTTGTATACACTTTAAAAAACTACTCTATTTGACCCCTAAGTGGGCTTAAATGCTTTAGCGATTTGATCGACCTTATTTCACTGTACAAGTTATTACAAATGTTCACTGCATGTATGGGAAGGTGCACTGGCCAGAAGTTGACATGTACAACGGAATATTAAAGTATTAAATATTAAATTTTCCGGAATATACCCTTTCGATAATTACGTCATTTGGCCTGGGAGCCTCGCTCTCATGAATCATTGAGAGCGAGGCTCCGAGATCAAAAAGTATGTGTGACGTATAATTATCGAAAGGGTGTATTTGGATGGAGACTCCAACTAATCTGCCGCAGGAGCGGCGTCACGACGTGCATGATTAAAATTCATTGAACCAGTGCATGACTAGACTGCGAGCGGTCCCTCCTATACATGACAATCTTGCAAGCAAAATCCTGAATCAACTGAGGTTTCTCTTGATATTACTACCAGACGTACCTGACAACACACAACAGAGCCATTATAAGCATCTTACTGAAAACTAGGGAGAGGAGATAATCATCAAAAGAGCTTTCTGATCAAAACTATTTGAACACGGTTTATCTCGGTACTAATTTCGATTTGTTCCCAGATATAGCAGTCGTGTAAAAATTAAATTACCAGTGTGAGGCATGATTGTCATTGTTTAATTAACACGCAGACTGAGTGGGAACACTATATATATGACTTACCTGAATAATTTTCAGATCAACATACAGTTATTATATTACAACCTTTTCAAAAATCTTGCCTCGTGCACAGCGTCGATAATGCAACAGCAGAGGCTGTTCTCAACTTCTCATCCAAACTATAGTAATGGACTCTTTTCTAACAACAGAATTAACTATAGCCATGCATATACATTTGCCAATTATAGACCTGAAACAAGGGGTATTTCTATCCTAGACTCGGGCCTTCTATTTTTAATTTCAGTGCTTTTTCTCACGAGAAGATTAGGTTACCAAATGCTAGCCCAAAATTGACCAAACTTGCCAAAGCCAGCAGAGTAAAAGGCCTAGAAAATTACTCTGATGGATGCCAAATGGCTTTTTTAAGCTATAACTAACTTTTTATTATAATTATAAACCTATACCACACCCATTTTCTATTGTTCTCGGTCGATTTTGGTTTCCGACTAAAGACCCGGTTCTGAAGGCCGAGCTGAAAATGTAAGACCCAGTATGGGTCTTACATTCAAATGCAAGACCCGTACCGGGTTTTACATTTTCAATTCAAGACCTGGCATAAGTCTAATTGAATTCGGGACTTGAATTTGCAACAAAACTCAAGCCCCACATCTCCTTTTCGACTAGAAAGCGCTGGTTAAGCATGCGCAGTATATCATTTTACATCCCACAAGCGAAAGAGCAGATATTAAGCAAATTTGACGGTTGATCCAGCTATTCCTCGTGACCGAATGATAGTTACTCTCACCTAATGGCAGAGTTTGACGGGCTCTCAGGTTACACGGCTGTTGTCTCTTTCTCGACTCAGAGACGTGCACATTAAAGCGTATGTAATGCGCATGTTACACCTTATTTCGTCCCACAACCGCAACCTCTCGAGGACAATAGAAAATGGGTGTGATAGGTATATAAACAACATCAAAACCTCATTTTAATCCTCTATTTAACGATCGATGCATCACATGGAATGGAATTAGACTACAGCCCCAAGTTAGATAAGTATTGCAACTTACTATAATAGGTCACTGCCCTCATCTGTTTATAAGGCAAACGATTTTATTTTCAATCTATATACTAATTCATTGTAATTGGCAACTATATAATTGCTCGAAATCTGATGAGCTTCAACCTATCCAGTATAAATATAAAACGTTAGGACAAAATCAGTTTGCAATTAAGGTATTTGAAATCAGTATTTTTCATTCATCTTTATTTTTTATTGTTGATTAGTTAAAATTTCTCGAATATTAAAGGCACAGTTCAGCCTGTTGAACGATGGTTTTTAAGGCGCATTTCAGCCCTGTTAATTGAAAAAACTAACTAGGAAAATCAATTAAGCATAATTCAAGATCACCAAACTTAATGTTTTTAACATTTTAAAACATTTATATTGTTAAAAACATCGAGTTTACTGGTTTTGAATTATGCTTAATTGATTTTCCTAGTTAGTTTTTTCAATTAAAAGGGCTCAAATGCGCCTTAAAAACCATCGTTCAAAAGGCTGAACTGTGCCTTTAAAACAGGCATGCAGAAGCCCACTCGCCAAACAGTGCACATGGAATATATTTTATCCCGCTTTAATAAAGTGCATTGTTTATAGTAGAATTTTAAAATTTTGCATGACGTATACATCAAATCATTTACGTAACTGCCTATCATGAATATGCATGCAGGGCTGTGTGATATTTTGCACGCGCGTAAAATAAATATCTTGCCAGCTAAAATAATCCAAATTTTAAAAATTGTATAAGTTTGTTTTCAACAGTCATTCGAAGAACATATCATTGTCCATTGAAACTGAAATTTGGCAAGGTAAATATTTCATTATTTTCAAACAACTATACAATACAATATTTATTGAACTCGAACGGTCTGTGGCAGCGCATGGCCAGTGACGACATCATAAAGCTGTGGATTGAGGGGGATGCCTAAACTTCGATGTTTCGAGCGAATGCCCTTCGTCGGGAAGTATATGATACTATATAAACGCCAAAGTGGCTTTTCAGAGCCAATTACTTGAAAAAAATATTCTGTAATATCCTGAATAAAGAAGTTATTAACTATAATATAGTTAATAATATCTAATTACTAATAGTATACTGTAAATATAATTGTCAACGACTTATAAACTGATATGAATGTTTTTTAAAAGATAATTTCGTAATTTATGTTTGTATGCAATACAGCAATTTTCGTCCAAGCACAAACCGCAAACATTTTCGCGCGTTTGTTTACGTTTGAAACGTGGCGTTTACCGTTGGAAACGGAATGTTTCACTGCTCATGTGACGAGTTATAGTGAAAAGCCTAATTCAGTTATTTTTCATGTTTTGATGTGCTTTCGTGTACTTTTCAGTATTTCCAAGCTCACGATATTGTAAGAGCGACCAAACTTGTTTATATTCATACTTTTTGTGACTAGAACGTATTATCATGGGCTGGAAAATATTGAAACGTGCACGGAGGCACATCAAAACATGGCAGTTGCGCCAAAAATAGCTTAAGGCTTTTCAATGTGACACGTCACATGAGCGGTGAAACATTTCAGTTTCCAACGGTAAACGCCCCGTTTCAAACGTAAACAAACGCGCGAAAATGTTTGCGGTTTGTGCTTGGACGAAAATTGCTGTATGCATGTGTGGATCGATACGGAATTGAAATGTTCGTTGGCCAGTTGTACTTAGTTGAAGTTTGACGTTTTTCAGTCATTTTGTATTACAAATGGGAAATTGATAATTGATCAGTTTGATCATCTGATTATCAATTTCCCGTTTGTAATACAAAATGACTGAAAAACGGCAAACTTCGCAAGGCTATATTATCCGCATTTTACAACATTTCGCAACGAAACTTCGGAATATTACTAATTTTGTGATGCTCTTTCAAGCTAGCTGTGATGAAATTTTTGTCCAGACTTGTCTAGATCAAAATTTCACTCGAAAGGAGAAAGGTATATTGACTCAAGCAGGGGTGGGGAAATTGAAGCCGTGCTTTGTAGGTATTGCCAGTCCATTTTACAATTTTTTTATTAATTTAAATTATACACTTTATATAAAGATCAATCTTACTCCTTTACTTTATTAAACCCGCGCGTCTGTTTTGACGAATCATAGACCTTATACTCCATGCCGTTATTATATACCATAGACGTAATCGTTCCAGTTTACTTCTAGTTGAATAGGTCACTCGAAAGTTTGCCGGCGAAATTTTATGGAAGTTCCTAATAGTAGTTTGGAGGTTACTGGCCTGTATTTAAGAAATAGAAAACGACTCGGGTGCGTTTATGGTGTGATAATGCACGCGGGGAATGTTGGGAGAATACGAGAGAAGCGTCACGTTACCAATGACCCGAGTGCATTGTCACACCATAAACGCACGAGACAAGTTTTTCTATTTCTTTTATAATATAAGTAGAAGATATTACATAGTAAACAATTTTACTCAAAAGATCGACTTTGAAATTCTCCTAACATTGAAATTCTCCTAACAATTCTCCTAAGCATTCTAAATAGTTGATGTTTGGAGGGACAACAAGTTATAACGAGTGAGCTATATATATATTAAAAGATGCTTTATTAAAATTGTTGTGTTTAGGGACTTTAGGAATGTAGGAAAACTTCCTAGATGCCATATTCGGCATATTGTTTATTTTTTGGCCCTCCAAACAAGCGACTAGACCCAGTCCTCTGCTCGATTGGGAAATGGATGCATGATGGAACGCGTTCCAATTAAGCACGCTTAGCAAAATGGCAACTTTTATTCCATATCACGTTATTATAATCAACCAATTAAATGACCAGAATTTAATAAGGTGTTATTTAAATCATACTAATTAACTCATACTAATACTAGAAAAATGTCTTAAAAACAGTTCGAATAAGATGAAATGAAAGCTAACTCTAATTTCTAACATTTCTAATTTCTAACATTCAACGACGATGTGAAACAGTGGTCTAACTTTTCAGGGGCATGCAGTACAACATACTGTCTGAACAACTTGTTTATATTTTACCTAATACCCTAGCCTAATACCATAATAGGCGGTTATTCGGCTGAAAAATCAATTTGCAGTAGATATTTGTGTGAATATGCGCCCTAGCTCCAGGAAGAGGTTTTTCCCCGTGAAAACTCTTTCATCGTTTAGGCAAAAGTTATGCAAATTAGACCACTGTGAAATACAAAGTTATAGATCTAACTAATGAAAAGTTAATATCCAAGTAATTAAAAACTTTACTAGTTTAATTAAAATAGCGCGGAGATTGATTGAAAGAATACCATGAAGAAAGAAATATAAGTGACGCTCAGTATGATACTCGAACTGCATTCTGGGCAAATGCGGACACATTTTGTGGCATCACATTTAAAAGAACACTCTCCACTTGTACAATTCTGAGTACATTTTTGGACTCCAGCGGCACATGCCATGGAACAATCCTTGGTACTACATGTCTGCATGCATGTTGTGGCATCACAGCTTAAGGAACAACTGTTGTTGGTGCAGGTTTGTTGGCAGGTTTCTGAATCACACATCATTTTTCCATAACCACTTTGGATACAAGATTTATTAGCTTGGCATAACATTTGATCACAATTCTCGTCAGTACAACTTTGAGTACATGTCTTCGTCGCATTGCATTTCAGGTGAGAACATTCCGTACACGTCTGGTAACAGGATTCAGCTTGGCACGATAAATTAGAACATGCAGTGCTACAAGCTTGGTTACAATCTTTACTATCATAACACGACAACGCGCAAGTCCCTGCCGTACAAGTCTGCGCACAATCACCGTAACTGCAGGAAAAATCGCATGCCGTGTTCGGCGTTACGCAAACTTGTCTACACACATCTTGACCTGCAGTCGCCGTGCCATTTGTACAAACAGCTGCAGAAGTGAAATTATTACAGCAAAATATGACAAGAACCAATAATGAAACTCCTGATGTGTAATTCATCTATATTTAAATGAGAAAATCATTTTTCAATTTATTGATGACGTAATTTATGTGATACAATAGAGCATCTTTATGTGAAAGACTGAAAGTAGATATTAATTAAATTAAGCTTGACAACAGAAAATACGCTTATGCCTAGTTTATTTGAAATAATGCTTTCAAAGCGAAATCACAAATGCATCCAAGGAAAGTGAAAGAAATGTTATCCGATTTAGTAAGATTTTAAAATCTCATTTACAAAAGCCGTTCTATCTTCAAATTAAACCGTTTAACATTTATTTATCGAGTGGATGCCCTAAATCCTAATTATGTTTACCCATAGTACTTTAATTAAATAGTTAAGGCTGGTCTAACGAGGATGAGAGTTGGCTGTCACACATTGTTACAGGGGTACCAAAGCTCCCCCCGAAAATAAATATCTCGAAAATACTGAATATTCCAGGAATTACACACTAAATAATAGTAACAGTTTTTACCGTATTTATAGACAGTAAAGGCATGGTAATTATTGAATGCGGCCAAAGTACAATTACATGTACGGAATATCATTTTTTATATAGTAGAGAGTAAGATACTGAAAAATACACAGTGAGATATATATTTTCCATATCTTCACTATAGTGAAGATATCGATCACGCATGCCAAAAAATATTACTATCAAAGCGGACATTTGCCTCTTTGACGCCCGCGCGTGCGTAATTGCAAGTAATTACGATGATGGCGGCTAGTGAGAAGTTTATAGGACTACAGAAGAAGGTTTAAAGCCGATATGGAGTTATATAAAACGCTCGTAAAAGTTTGTCAACCTCGAAATTGTGTGAAATACTCGGCCTTCAGGCATACATACATTATCTTTATGTTGTTGTTCATGAAAGTGTAACCCGCACACCAAAAGCGCAATGCGTCATTCATGTTCACGCGTATCACACTACAAACATATTACACTGCACAAAATACATTACTTATCTGCCTGTTGACTTATATACTGCTCTATTAAATGTATTAATTGACGAGGTATTGTGAATCATTATAAACGTCGCTTACAGCTGCGTCGCGCGACGATTTTTCGGGAATATACATGCTATATAATCATGTCATATAAAGATATAATACATACTTATTACTTATTGATAGTAATGTTAAAATTAATTACACTGTAAAAACTGATTGGTCGAAATGACCAAAAAAAATTGGTCACCTGGATGCATCTGAGAGAACCAATTAAAAATGGTCGTTTTAACCAATAAAATTAACCATTAATTAATTGGTCATTTCAACCAATAATAATTGGTTAATATAACCAAATATTTTTGGTTGTTTTGACCAATTAATAAAATGGTTAATTTTATTGGTTAAAACGACCATTTTAAATTGGTTCTCTCAGATGCATCCAGGTGACCAATTTTTTTTGGTCATTTCGACCAATTTTTTTTTGTCATTTCGACCAATTTAATGTCACAACCTATACACTGCATTAAAATGAAGAAAATTTGTGAGTCTTACATCACTGAACATGTATACATGGAATTTAATAAAAAATCTATCAATACAATATATAAGGCAATTAAATAAACTAGAGCTACCGGTACCTTAGAACTATGTGAGAGAAATTGCAAAGGAATACAATTACAACTGTTGTGCTGAGTGGTTATATTACTACCTGAAAAAAAAACAAGCAGAAACTCAACATTTCGAGCGAAGGTTCTTTGCTCAAAACGTTGAGTTTCTGGGTTTTTTTTTTCAGGTAGTAATATAACCACTCAGCACAGCAATTTCACATTGGTACTATCCACACTGGTGCTGGTACAGAGAGTTTTAATACAATTACAAGCCTGCCAGTATGAATTGAACCTGCTGCCCTGCAATTCTACTGCAGCCCTCTGACTTAAAGAGTCCTTTTGCCAAGATGTAACCATAACTTTCTGTATAATTATACCATGATGGTGGTGTCACTGGTAGTATATTAAATAAACTGGGATGACACTAGTATTGTATAAATGAACTCTTGGTTAGCTTGATGGAGTCTTGGCGCTTGGACTCTCAGGGCTTGATGGACTCTCGGCTGTTAAGCAACTGTTCAGAATCACAGGGCAACAGGTTCCATTCCCGGCACAGTACTTATTACATTAGTTATTGTTCAAAGTTTCCATCTACAGAAATGTGGCTTTAACCCATTGAGTGGCAACACTCTCTCCTTCATGAGTAAAATTGTCTAGCATTAGACAGAAAAAATAATAAGGTAGAGCCCATTGCCACATAAAAGGTTAACATTCTCTTCAATGTATAATATATACCTGTACTGCATGTAGTGTTGTCACTGCTCAATCAAGCATGTCATACAAGTCCATTAGTTAAAATTTAAAAGTACAAGCTTCATACCACAAGTCGGCAACTCCATTCCTTGTCAGGTTTGTTAATCCATAAACATACTCTCCAGCAAAAGAATAACATTTTCCAAATAGACTATGCAGTACTTAAAATGCCATTAATGATTATATATATTGCCACTTGTTTAGACAACTTGCCTTCTGCTGGGAAGCTTTTATTAATAACTTTTCTTTCAGGATCAGGATATATAATGAATCCATATTAAATACAATCTCTATTAAGAAAAAAATACATATTAAGGTTGATATATAATGGTAGCAAATTATTGATTGATTGACAATGAATTTCCTATTTTTGGTTAGTGTACAAAGCAAGAAATACAAAATTCAAATGCTTTCACTTGACATGTTTAATGTAAGGCTAGCATGCAATTGAAGTAACATCTGCATACAATACAACTATTCTCACTGGTAAAAGACTGTTTAAAATACTGGTGCATAACAACTGTTTTTTCCAAAATTCCTAAGTGAAAAATATCATTCTATATAATCCAGCAAGGTAGATTTAGTGGCTGTTTATATGAGATGATGGCACCTGTGTACCTGAGCTGGCCCAGTTTTGGTGAGATCCAGACTTTGTTATAATATTCTATATATTTCAACTTGTGTTTTACTT